AATATATATTTTTATGGTATAATTTATGCGAAGTAAAGGTTAAAAAAAAGTTATAAAACTATTATGTTCGATCTAGAACTGACGAACTAAACTATCGAAATGAAGTACCTCTATGCAAAACTTTTTAATTTGAGGAGATACATACATATGTATACTCACGATTTTGAAAGATAACGCTCCTTATTTTAGTCTAATTCTATATCCTTTTTATTTATGGCATGTTTCTTAAAGTAAAATGTTTATAAGTAGAAGATTGAAGGACAGAAATATATCAAAAATGGCGATAATGTTAAAAACAAAACATAAATGAATTTATACAAGTGCAAAGTACCGTTAAGGGAGATTTTAATCGCACTTTTAAAAAAATCGTATTGGCATTGCATAGTTGTAGAGTCGTTGCTGTTGTTATCGTAACGGTTATCTAATGGAATGTCGCGGTCGATTTTGAAGAAGTAGGAGAAACCTTAGGGTTTTTGACAGTCAGAATTTTAACTCCATCGACTGTGGTGTTGGGGAGTGTCAACTTCTTTGCAGATGTAGGGAGAAAGATCGGTGATAGCTTTTTACTTTCGAACACATGTCCTCCATTATATTGGACCTTAATTCCAAGAAGCTAGAAAGAGTCAAAATTATGTTCCTCACTAATTCGAGCAAAAGGACAAATTAAAACCCAAAAGATTTAAGATCCTTAAGCCTCACCCCATTCATGCTGAAAATTCTAGAAAGGCTAATACGGTATCGAATTCCCAACATGCATACACAAAGGGTCCTGCCTTTCTTGATGTTGTAGGAGCTTTTAACCACTTCGAAATAAGCAAAATTATTGATCCTATGTCAGGTTCTGTAAAAAGAATATAGGAGTTAGGAAGTTGAGCAACTGAGCTTTAAATGCATTTTGAACAAATACACAGTTCAGAGCAGATGGAACTCAATAACAATATGCAATATAACCGAGAAAATCTGGCTCAAATAATACACTAACCAAAGATCTACTATGCATGTCCAGAAATAGTATAAACAGACTCTCAGTTACTATAACGGGAGCACTGGCCTTTTGTCGAGCTGCAGTTGCAAGCAAGAAAGGAATAGGGAAACATTTTTCCACTTTCTCTATGAATGTCCAGCACTATCACAAACTCGACATAAAATACCATCTGACACCAAACTTTGAATAGTTGTCTACAAAAAGCATAACAGATATGCATATACAAGTGTTTTCATAGAAGATGCCTTGAGCGCAGCGCTGAAACGGGATAACAAGTTTATAAGGCCCTTCCATGGGGAATCGATCGCTTATGCGGGGATCCTAGTGATTTGTAAGTTAACAAAGGTGCGGTTGCTAACAGAAATAAAGTGGAGAGGCTTCCCGATCGAGATAATTATGAAAAGAGAATCTGTTGCGAAGAGAAACATAAATCGCCACATTATGCTAATAATCAGATCACAACCTACGATGGTAATATATGGTGAGTTGTTGCAGGTATCCATGGTTCTGGTGGATTCATTTAGCAAAATGTTGAATCGTCCACGTGTTCCATCCTATTGACAGGAGTTAATTCGAACGCGTTAAAGTCGCTAAGTACCAAACGAACTAGATTCCGGATAACTATGCCCTGACATTCAAGGATAGTATCCCTGCGTTCAATGTTGCCGTCGATTAGACATGGCTAAGCTTACTCTATTGTCTTGATTGCGATCTTCATGTACTACGTTGAAACCTAAATGATCTGAGTAACGTTTTATGTTAGTTTCTTGAACCGCAGCTATCGGTGACATATGTCAACGCGTGGTCCTCTCCTAATGAGTCTTGGGAGGGACACAGGGATACGGGTATAAATAATGTTTTGATCTCTTAGTAAATCTCCTATTTCATGATTTCATCGACAAATATAGTATATATGTAGCTCAGTCTTGTAAGAACAACAGTAGAAGTACTAACAAGTCCCTGTCTAATTAGTAAGCATGGCAGCAGATTGGAAACGCCATACAATGACTATTGTATAAAATTAAACTCTTTCTGCTTAGGTTTAATTAGATTCCACCATATAAATATCTCACTTTAGTAAAACTGTGCCGAAGTGGTCTTACTGGAATTACTAATCTTCATAAATAATATTGTTTCGTTGTTTTTCAGCGGATGTAGTTAAGGACAAATGGAAAGTTTTTCGCTCCATTTTCGTGAGAAGGCTGAGAAAAATGCATATGGGAGAACTAATTAAGCCATATTATCTACACGAACACATGCAGTTTTTACGTCCATATTTACGAAAATCGTGGGATCCTGAATGTTGTAACAAAATATTATTGGAGGAAAGCGAAAGTCGTGTTACCCCTAAAAATCCAAAAGCAAATAAGGATTCACATAGCAGTTATGAAAATTCAAACACATTAGACCAAGAGGATATCAGTTCAGTGAGTCTTCCTGATATACCGCAATATTCATGTAACGATTATAAGCGAATACGTGCTTCGGAAACGAATAATCACTCTTTTTCCTACAAATACCGAATTAATGAATTAGACTTTTCTGCTCAACAATTCAAAATCAGTGAAGTTTCATCACATCAACAAGGTCTGGAGGCCACAGACGATGAAGACTATAAACGCCTATTTATATTAAGCTTACTGCCAGACCTTGAAGAAATGAGTAGCGCACAAATGCGTAAATTTAAAATCGAAGTTACCGCGATCATAAATAATATTATTAATAAGGAATAAAATAATTATTATTATAACATTTATAATATTGAATTTAAATGTATAGCATTATTTTACTCACTGTTGTACGCTTATTCAATTTAGTAATATCACTACAAATATGCTGTTAGAATATTGATGTCAAAAAGCRTAGAAAAGCTAAATTTGATTTCAGATGTTTTGGAATATATTAGTACGTTTTTTGAATATTTGTAAATATGGCATTCTAAAAGTAAGGTTGAACCATTACTGAAGCTTCAGTATGATCAAAGGAGAACTTTCAAATGTCTTCATCACTATTTCACTTTATTCATTAATTTGAGAATTAATGTAATAATGATATATGTATTTCTTCTACAACCACCGCAAGCTTTGAATATTGCTTTAATTATTTTTACTTACATTGGAAATTCATAAAGTCATTGTAATATACATATATGTTATATAGAATACTATTTATACTTTAGGAGAGAATATCGTCCACCTATCACAGAAAATTGTGCATATTATCGTACACTACCACCAAACCAAACTATTATAATTGGTACAACTGTCAAAATCAAGAAACTGCTGTTGTCTACTTAGTTTTCAGAATTTTAAAATTTCATTATATTGAATATCATTAAGGTAAATAAAATCAACCTTCAAACTCAAGATTGTTGTCTGGATTTCCAGTAGACTGTTTTCTATAGCCTGTTTGAGGTTTAACAACTGGACCCAGTTGAATAGAAAACGAAACAACTGTACTCTTTTCCAACATAACGAATTAAAATTAAGTTCAGTTGAAATTGCATTCATGTTGCTAAAATAAGGACTGTAATAGTATCAGTTGACAGTTGCTTTAATAACGAAAAATTAATTAAATTAAAGTTAAATAAGTATGAAAATTTACTTGGTTTCATTTTATATTTCAACGACGAATTCTTTTTTGCCGAAACATTAAGGATTGCCCGAGGTAAGAAACGTATTCCTTATAATAGTAACAAAGATCCAAACAACCAAAACAAAACAAAATGCATCAAAACAACCTTGAGTTTGAATACCACACAACCTTATCTTAAAAAAATGTATCTAAACAAATAGTATATGTATGTATATGTAAACAATCCTAAACAAACAATGTAATCTTTATCTAAACAAACTATCGACTGGTAATAAGTAAGTAGTATAAATAGAAGTGAAGGTTCTTGTAATAAGTTAGTCTTAAGAGTAGAAATAAAGATTACACATTTCGTTGCAGCTCAAAATATTTTCTTTTGGTAAAAATTAACTCGCGTATCAAGTGTATAGGAAAAGCCTTTGCGATTACCCCACAACAACGCTAGCTAAAGTTTGCAAGCGTCAATATCCTGGTAGAGTTAGATGATGATATGTCAAAGTTAATTAGGTTAACGTTCTTCAAAATACTTACATATGTACGTGTTAGACTTAACAGTCATAATTTGATCGCTCTTTTAGTATTGAAACAGAGTGGACTATATACTTTTGTATATATTTATGATCGCATCAATCATGTACATACATATACATATAACACCACACACTAAATGGAGTTGCTGCGTTGCTGGTGGACTAACCGGTCATTCAAGGCGGCTTATGCGTTAACCGTTTTGGCAATAGAATACTCAAGTCTGTCATAAAATGTAAAGCTTTCCTAAAGAAAAGACTAAGTAGCACACTTAGCATTGTGAAGCGAAAAAATGTGCCAAAATTTGCTTAAATACGAGAGAAATTAACGGCACCAAGAGTATATTCATATACATTCTTACGTCTATGTGTATATGTATATAAAAGTCAATGTGTACATATGGTTGTGCCGTTAGTATGTGCATATTTACCCGTACATTTATAAATATTTAGTACTGTGCAAATATCTATACCTAAAGGTATGCTATGTATACTACAGTGACGGTCACTTTATTAAAACGTTGTAAGAAAAATATGAAATATTATACATATGTGTGATAAAAAACTTAATATAGTATGTACATACATATATATTTTTATATTTTAAATTTTAAAACATCATTGCAAATATTATCTGATTTGTCATATTTTAAATACGAATGAATATTTTGTAACTTTTTAAAATAAAAGTAGATATAATTACTTAATGAATCAGTAAGAAATTTTTCCGTTACTTTTTAAATTAATTAAAATGTTTTTAGACGCGATTCGCATAATTGCACTGTACAATTTAGTCAGCCCAGTTGAACTTAAAGTCTTAATGGTAAGTTTAAGGGTTGCATTCTTTATAGTCGGCGAGTCTCTTCTTTTTGTCAGTAGTTTACAAAAAAAAAATTTCACTCATGTTCCGCCACAGTAAATTTCCGAAAATGTTGTTAAATTATTTTGCATTTCAGGTTACGATATACAGTTCGCAGCAAAAAAACCGAATTTTCCAGATTTTTTACTGACAAAGCATTACATTTATTGACCCAAAAATTTGTAAACATATTATGGTACCTTTCAACTTTATTTTAAGACTTAGTATTAATAAAAATATTTATTTGAAAAGAAATTATAGCTGTTCTCCGGAAGTTCTTCTCAAAAAAGACGTTTTCGGTGATCACAATATCGTTGAACTGATCTTCTGAAATTATAAAACTAAACAGATTTCGTAAAAGTAATGTTAATATAGTAATTAACCGAAGGTACGTATAAGCAAAATAAATTTGTTTCACAAATTGGCGGTTTCACAAACAAATAGATATTTGACTAAAAATTCAAGCTTAAGTTTAATCCTTTCCAATTAATTTTTTTTTTGCATTTTCTGTTCCCGTATACCCTTAGGAATGTAGAAATGTAGAAACCCACTTTACCATTGGAAGATTTCGAAGAAGGCCCAAAACTAATAATACCGCTACGTTCGGAATGCATACCTGATACTTTAAACGCTTTCTCAAAAGACAGTTTTTTAAACTGACGGACATGATTCCGGTCGAATATTCACAAAACGCCTGGCTATCGTCTCTACTAGATAAATCATTTTTTGACAATCTTACGATAAAATTTATGTAAAAAAAACCATGAGGAAAAATTAAAAAAAAAAAAATTATTATTATACGATAACCATTCACATACTTTTTATGAATAAATAGGGTTTTTGTATTTCAGATGATGAGAAATCGTGTCCGCTAGTGAAAAGACACACATCATTCATCCAGCCATTTCTCCTACAGATGTCATAGAAAAATTTCGAAAACATTTGTTTATATACTTTACGATATACCTCATGATATCTGAAAAAAGTTCTTGTGGAATAAAAATCTCAATGAAAAAAATGTCAAAAAACAGGCCAGATTACCCTACTGACCCCTTAAATTGTTTACAAAAAAATATTTAACGGTGTTAAAAAGTCTTGATTGATTACTAAGAAATATATTTGAGAATTTTGTGTTAAAATTTGAGACCAATCTGTTTAACCGTTTTCAAGTAATGTTGGTTACCGACTTTGAAAACACCATTTTGAGAAAAACGCGTTTGAAGTTTGATCTTGTACTTACAAGCACTCTGAAACTCCTTTTCAAGTTTTCGTTTACCGGAACGATATAAAATATTATGTGTGTATTCATAAATATATGTATGTATGTACATTTCGAAAAGAAATTTAAAAAATCGACTGATATCTTTGAATTATTCCTACGTTCGGCTTACTTGCAGTTCCCCAGATTTGAATGCCATATGTCCATACCAGTTTAAAAATGTTTTTATATACCTTGTTTTTAGGCAGAGTTACGATTTAGGATTCAAGCTGATCTCTTTTGGTTTATATGTATTGCTGGCAAGTCAATCTTTTAATGTCCATGTGCATCCCCATTCACTGAGAGAACGAAAGGCTTAAAAGTATTCTTAAGATGGTTGCCAAAGGCGTTGGCGTTTCTTTTTGTCAGGTCTCCTCAATGAGTTGTCTACATTTTTTACTAGTACTTGTCGCTTTGGAGGAAACGTTTGGATATTTGATAACTCTCTATGGATTACAATTTTTGTGTTAAGTCAGATCGGAACTTTTAAGGAGTTCTGCTATAGATTTTAATTTCAGCTTTGCTAACTTGGATTTTCATTCCTTTACGAGAGCGTTAATTAAGTCCCGAATTGTCTTTATTTCCACAAAGTGTTATAACTAAGCTCCTAATTAAGATATAAAACATATCATATTTGGCACAAGGAATCGCAGTAGGAATGGGCACCCGAGGAAAAAAATTTTCGGATAGAATACAAGTTTAATGTGCATATCTCCTAAACAGGTTAAGCTACAACAACAGAATTTGCTAAATTGTGTCAGAGACTTAAAAATTTTCCGCCGGGATGGTGAATGAGAAAGCTATATGGGAAGCGCACACTGGTCGATTTCATAGGCCAAGAATAAAAAAACAAAAGTTTGAAATTTCCCACTGTATGTATGAAAACTATTTTATAAAATAGCAATGAAATTAACGTTAAATCAATTTTTGCTCTATCCCTTTCGTACGCGTCACGAAAAGCGAGAGAAGTGAGACAACAAAAACACGCGGGCTGTGCAGTGAAAATGGCTTTAAAATTATCTCTTATAATAAATTAAACTACAATATATAATAGTGCTTAATACCAATAAATCGAAATGAATATTAAAAAGAAAGGTATGTGCTTTATGACCACGCGACTTTTCCGTTCTAATATATTGTTTTATTGTTTTAAAACTATTATTTTACAAGTGACCTTTTGAGTGATATATTTTTCTTTATACATCGAATTAAGAATAAAAAAAGTTGTGATCCCTGTCTCACCCTTACATGAGACAAGTTTTTTTATATTATTTAATGTTTTCTAAGTCTATGCTTATGATTTCAGCTATGGCTATGGATGTATTGGGAATATTGTTATGAAAAGACTTGATTACGTATTTAAAAGATTTGCAGATTAAAATCAAAAGTTTAACATTATGAATATACTACATATATTATTAAGACGACAATCATTCATACTGAGTCAAGATAGAGATTGATAAGTCTGGTAGAGCGCTCAGAGAAAACGAAACGGCGAAGGATAGCAGATTTAGCAGAACTCGATGTGTCCGTGTTTGCTGATGATTTGCGTTTGGAATTTAGGGAAACGAATAAGTCCATCTTTCGCGCAAAGACATGTGAAGTAATATCACTTATCACCGAAGCAAATTTAACCAAGCACCAGTATCAACTTATTAGAAGCTTCGTTAACAATAAACTTGATGTTAACTTTTTAGCTTGCTATGATAATATTTTAAAGGAAAAACAGAAAGTTATTCTGAGCATATAAAAGCTTGAGAAGCTTACGCTGAAGTTGAGCTACAAAAATTATTGGCTCACACTGCGTCGCGAATTTTAGAGTTGCAAAGCAATGTAATTAATGAACTCAATGACTAATCTAATTACCTAACATTAATAGGAAAATGCGACTTTGATGGCAGTTCTAGGCAGAGCGAATATAAGCAAAAATAATAATTTGGAAGACAGTAATTTATTTGTTACGTCATATGTTCCTCTACAAATGATAATAATAATACAGAATGATGAGGAGCACAAACTAATTTGGTAAAACCCCCGACCTTCAACCACTCGCTATTGCCGTCCTGTTCGAATTCAGTTTCAAAAGGAATCAGTTCAATTATACCTAAATAAAGAATTATATTTTAAAAACAAAATTCAACAATTAAATCCCACTGAGTTCAAAACAGCTAGCAATCGTCAATTTTATATCGATCACATTCTTCAACTTACAATGGTGGTTGGGAAAGTGTGCAATACCTTAACTGAAACCGCATCTGCAAAATGCTATATATGCTCGGCCAAACCTACTGAGATGAACGATATTGACAAATGCTTGAAAAAAGAAGATTGTCTCCATTACATGCCTACATTCGGTTTTTTGAATATTTCCTTCACGTTTCTTATAGACTTGAAATCAGACAATGGCAAATAAGGGGTTTAGAAGAAAAAGAACGATTTCAAAGAAGGAAAAAAAAACACCCAGTGCGAGTTTCGTGAAAAAATGGGTCGTATAGTCGACAAGCAAAAAACAGGTGGTAGTGGATCTTGAAACGATGGAAATACTGCTAGAAAATATTTCAACGATGCCCATACATCTGCTGACATAACAGGCATCGAAAAAGTATTAATTGAAAAATGTGCAGTATTACTACATGCTTTATCATCAGGGTACAAAATTAATGTGGAAAAATTTAGGAAATTTGCGCTAGATACTGCAAGAGAATGAACATCAAAGTATTCCTGGTAGTATCTTCCTGCGTCAGTCCCTAAAATTTTAATTCACACTCCCGATGTTATTCAATACATATGCATTAGTTTCAATTGAAGAGCTCTCAAAAGAAGCTGCTGAGTCAAGGAATAAAGACGTTAGGACTCCATCATACACGAAAGAACTCATGTGTCGGTATAAATCAGAATTTCTTAAACCGATTACTCTTGAGCTCAGATCCTTTCATCTCAGGTCAAAGAAAACTATGATGCAAAAGTAAATCAATTTTATTAAAATCAGTTTTTGATTTAGTTGAATAAAATTCAAATAATTCTTTTTTTGTTAATCAACTTTTTTATTATTATCAACAGCGGGTGGCGAAATTTGAAACCAGATAGGGCTTTGGAGCGGGTTATTTATGTTAATATAATTGTTAATTACTTGTTATGCATTTAAAAAACTTAGGAAAAATTTCACTTTAATATAGGCAGTGGAAGTATTTTTGGCCGCTGATTTCATACAAGATCGACCATTGTGAAGCGGTGTGGAAATTGGACGATGGCCGTGGCACCGCCCACTTTTTGGTCAAATCCCACATCTCAGGACCTGACCAACCGATTTTGACAAAATTTGGTACGTGGGGGGGACGTACCCATATAGCATAATTTTAATTTCGATTCGTTCAGTTAGAAGCAATTAATATAACGGGATTAAACTTTGCACTAATAATGTCCTTAA